TTAGGTATATATCAGAAGTACTCAACATCATTAGTCTCTCGTGGAAATAAAAGGTAAAACTTCAGTGAACTACCACTACATCCATGCAATGGCAGAAATAAAACTAAAGACTAATAACAACAATGCTTGCAAGATGCAGTCTGAATTGAAGTACAAAAGAGTACAACTCCTTTAAAAATATCTGACATTTTTTATAAAGTTAACATAATACTAGATATAAAATTACCACAGGAATCAAGTAAGTTTACAGTTCTTTATTTACACAAGAGAAATGAAAACACCTGTTTACAAAAAGACATATTTGTATACAGCACAAATATACAGCAGAATTTTATTTATGATCACCTCAACATGGAAACAATGCAAATTCTAATAGGTGATTGTATAAACAAGCTGTGGTCTACCACTAAATACTACATAAATTAAAAACGTTGACAGCTGAAGTATTATTTGACAACTGCAACATATAATATGACATGGAATTCATTAATTTGCTGGTGAAAAAATCTGGACCCCAAAGTGTCCACACTGTACACTTCCATCATCACAAAATTCTCAGGAGGGAAAAGATAATCTACAATGATGTAGTGCATCTGCAATGCCTGCAATCAGGTAAATGTAGAAGTTGAATTCAAACCAGCTTGGGAACATTTTGTATTTATATTGTTTTTGAGGTAATGTTGGTTTACATTGTTGTTTGTATTTTGAAAGTACAGTTTCCCCCCTTCCAGTGAAGAAAAATTTTGAAATAATTAAAACACTCTATATCTTGATTTTGACGGTAATTATACAACAAGCATACTTATGTCAAAAGTCATCTAAAAATACACTTAAATACTGCATTTTAGTGTAGGAAAGGTTATACTTCTACAATTTAGCAAAGCTATGCTTAAAGCAAAAGATGGATTGGAGATGAAGAATGAAAGAAGCTGGAAAATTAGGGTAACTGTAATCTAAAATAATGGGACATGTCAGCAAGAAGTTTCTTTCAAATTAGTTCAATACAAAACCTGAAAAACATCATGCATGAGAAGAGGATGATAGTCATCAAAAAAATCTGATACTCTTAAAAACAAATACTTGTCTATATTTTATTATTGAATTCAAAGATGACATTTAACATTGTTCTGGAATTAAAGAAAGGAGAAAAATTACAAGAGATAGAAATGGATATAGTCTGGCCCTCCCTGGTGGCCCAACTGGGTAAAGCACAGCACTATGAAGCTATTACAGCTATTGTAGCATAATCCTGGGCCAGGAAGGTGACCCACATGGCATGGAAGAACTCCCCTGACCCATCTGCTGCTCCCCTGACCCATCTGCTGCTCCCCTTAGCAGTGTATTTAAGTACATCTGCCTGTTTTTTCCCTGCCCTGTTCACTTCCCACACATCTGGCCTGTACCCCAGTTCTGTATGCATAAAGAAAATAAATCTGAAAAAAAAAAAATAGAGTCTAACAGTTTGTGTTAAACACCATTATAAATGTAGGTAAATGTATGGTTTGTTATTTAATCACACTAGTGCTGGAAATAAGCAGATATCAACTGGGTTGAAACCAGGATATCAAATTTTAGGGCAATGGCCAGAATTAAGATAGACTTTTAAACCTGCAAAGTAGTTCCAGTGCAGTGTCCCCTGGATTAAAAACTCAAATATGAGGCATGAGGATTGCATGGGTCCCTTGCTGTGTGAGTCATTTATTTCATTAAAAAAAAAAAAAAAAAAAAAAAACCTTTTACAGCATCATGGATTTGCTTTCTCTTTATTGTCTAACAGTCATTTCCAGTCTTTGAAATGTATCAAAAGCAGATGAAATCATAATTCAATAAAATATTTTATGAAGAAAATTGTGGAAAAATACCTACTGTTAACTTTAAAAACATCAAAAGCCTTGGTAGTAGGTGTCATGCAGGAACTTGCACATGAAGGTATAATTTTGTGCTTCTAAATCATATACGATGTTGTAAAACAAGGTTACCTCAATATAAATTATAATAAAGAAACTAAATAAAATCATCAAATATAACTTATGAAGTACTTTGTCAATTTTTGTTTATGTACATAGTTGTGTCAGTATTGCTATTACAAAATGAAAGGATAATGAATTTAAAAATCAAGTACAGATAAGGATTTATTTATTTTATTTAAAAGGGTAAACATGTTGGAATGACATCTAAATTACAGATCACTAAATAAATAAAGACAAATGGTTAAACAATAAGCTAAAATTGAAGATAGATTTATTCTATTTTTGTTTTCTTCATTTCATATTTGAATTCATTTTATCAGATGTTGTCATGTAAGATTGATTTTTTTAATTTTCCTCAAGATTTACTAAGAACTATAGAGTTAGCATGTCACACTATTAGATTGATTTGAAACTTAAAACTAGAACCTTTTTTTCTTAGCCAATGACACTGAAAGAGTCAAAATCCCATGACTTAAATTTTGGAGCCTACTTCGGTTCAGTGTTTGGAATAACACATTTGTATCTGTTAAGTTTTGGGCAAACTCAATCATAAAAAGAGTTACCCAAGAAGCTTGCAATAATATGTAACTGGATCCCTGCAGTGCTAGAGGATACATCACCATGACATGTTGTTTTTGTTGGGGCACAATGATCTCAGTCCCCCACTGTGGATGTCCCTCATCCCTCAGCCCCAGGAAAGCCAGCTTCAGCCATGGTTCCCAGGAGTCCAAAGGGCCTGGACTGACCTGAGCTCAAACTGGAATAGGTATTTCCCTCTTTTATATCTATCTCAAGGATCCTAATGAACCACTCAGATGTAAACTGAAAAGATCATTACCTAATCATTAAATGGGCCAATCATGTTCAGATTCACATCATTAGGTAATTATTTGGCTTAAAATGCAAGCCAAGCTGATTGGTGCTTAACAGTCCAAATAGTTTCTTAGTATGTAAAATGCTCCAATTTGTATGGTAAGGGACTCTGAAGGGGATGAAAGGCAAAGCAAGAACCAGCTTGATAGATCCTGCTCCAGCCTCACAAACAAGAATAGAATGTTTTTTTGGCCTTGGAACAGAAAGATTGATTCAACCAACTTCAAGAGGAATTCTGCTTCCACCCTATAACAAAGAAGATTTCTGTTTCCAGCCTTCAAAGAGGAAGACCACCTTGGAAGATTCACTAGACAGCCTCTCAATAGAGGGAAGCATTGTGAACTTCCATGGGATTCAGCAGACCTCTGTAGAAGTCCAGACTTGAAGAAAGCTAGACATCCGCACCTCCACAGACCTTTGCAGAGCCTCAACCGCTTCACCTTTCAATACTATCTCTGAAATTGTCTGCAAGGAGCACTGTTAGGCTCATTCCACCATCTCAAATTGCTTCAGAGATTCTGATTCTCTAGCTCCACCTCCTGGTGCTCTAGAATCTCACTGCCTGGCCCTGTGCTGCTGTGGCTGCTGCTGGGTCACTTCACCTTCTGTGAGTGGCCTTTGCTTGAGACTTATGGACACTCTTTGGGGTGAGAGAGTTGGCCATTTGTGGCCTTAGAAATGCTTTTTGTTTACCCAATCTCCTGTTTGTTAAACAAACCCTGAGTGGTCTAGCACTGTTGCAGTATTGTTCTTTTTGTGTTAAGTGTCCTTTTGTACTCTTGTATTCTTGTACTCTTGTACTGTTTCAATATGGCCTAGGCTATTTTCACAATTGAATATAGCCTCTGTTTCCTAAATATATTATTTTTAAGGCCATGATACTTTAATGTGCCACACAGGATATAAATATCAGTTTAGGAAAATATCAGATAATTGACATACTTGTGAGCATACTGTCAATTGCCTAATTTGTCATAAAATATCTAGTAGTCTTTTTTTATTTGTTATTTCTATCAAAAAAGAATATTACTCATTTCTTATGTCAGAATATCATGATAAATTCATTCCAAAGAAAACTTTGTTTCTTCATTACATCATATAATAGCATATAATAGCATAGTGAAAGTCACCAGTTCAGGATATTTTCTGATTTTGATTTAAAAAAATAGCCAAGAAACTGAGTAAATTTAGAAATTAAAATTAGTAACTAGCTCACTTCTACCATAGTGCAAGATTTTATTTTCTTATTTTGCTTTCTTAAGTGGAAAAGTTCCTGAGAGAAATAGCTAAGACTACTGCAAAATAACTAAGTCTATAGTAAAATAGCTCTACTTATTTAGTATCTTTTCATGCTTTTATAAAAAATGATAAGTACCTAAAATATAATTTTATTATGCTTATCAATTACTTAATAAGTTTTATTGATTATATTTTAATGAGCTTAAAGATCACCACTAGCAGTGTTCCAGTAAGTCACTTATATTAGTATAAATCTTTGATCCTTAAAAGTTTCGCTTAGCAGAACATATTAAGAAAAATGCAAAATATCAGTACTATGACTATTTAATTTTAAAATAAATGGGAAGAGTGCACTATACTGTGGTGATGACACACAGGTGAATTGGTGGTGGGAAGCCCATGGTGGTTACAACTGAGATGAAAAATGCAGAAAATGAAGAATGATGTAAAAAAAAAATTATAAGAAAAAATCAAGGTCTACATTTTACAGTTAATATTAATGGAATATATGGTTTTCATAATGAGCAAAATTGATTGCAAAAATTTAAATGTCCATGAACAAAAACATTAAATAATGCATGCTGTAAAATCAGCCTGAAAGCCTGCAAAATCAAACAAAATAAGTCACTGCAAATACAACTAAATTTAAAAAAAGTAAATAAGGTATATGCCATCCTAACATAAAAGTTGATCACTGGGTTTATTGAAATATATACTGAGAAGAGGTAGTATGTCTAATTTCTCAGATAGCTAATTCTACATAGGGAATAATACATTAAATAATAAAGACTTGAATTTTTTTGTTTCCATATTTCATTTATTTATTATTGTTTAATTTTAACAAGAAGTACTAGATTTTACATTAAGAATCAGAATGAATGCACAAAAGTACCTCAGTCCATCTTTTTTTCCTTGCAGAGTGCAGATCTGAGCCCTGCCAGCAGCAACACTTCCCTTCCTGTCAGCCCTCTGACTGAAGAGCCATTGCCTTTCAAGGTAAAAGACAAACAACAAAAAGTCAAAGTTATGCTAGCTTAGGATTGTTCATAAATGTTTTACTGCAGTAAAGTAGTTCATGCATAAAGGGTGAGCAACTTTATCTTTAAGCATTATATTTCAAATGTTAAAATCCTTTTTTGTTATTGTTGTTGTTCTCTTTTATTTTCATTGCTAAATCAAAGTAAAGGCTTGGAATAGAATTGGATATTTTTGGGAACACATCGTTTGCCCTGCATATGAGACAGTGATTGTATTGCAATAATTTCATGTCATCAATTACAAGTTTCAGATTTTTTAATTTTTATTTCTATTTTTAAGCAGTTAGTTTAGAATCAATTGTTTGACCTTACCAAATGGTGGCATTTTTATTAGTTGATTACATTTTCATTTATGACTCAAGGTCATAATTATTTAATCTTCACAAAATATTTGCCAAAGACAAAATTGAACTATAAACATTATATTTTAAAAAAAATTTGTAAATGTGCAAAATGATGTAAAAATAAACTTTTGTAATAAATTAAAAAAAATAAAACTAAAAAAAATTGTAAATACGCTACTAATTATTTGTGTAATATGGTTAGTAGAATTCTTAAGTTTAGGAAGCTATATACATAGAATTATGAAGACATATTCTTGTTTTAGTATTTAAATTTTAATATTTCATTTTAAGGCAGAGCTTACAGATCAGGTATTTTATATTTGTACTAAGATATTTGGGTTTCATTAAGATTATTGAACATAAAATCTTATAAGAATGGGAAATAAAATCTTAGCATATTGGAATGATGCACTTATATGTAATGGTTTCAGTTAAGTTGGATTTAAAGACAGATAGATGCCCATTTAGGTTTCATTATGACTTTTATGATTTTTGTATGTTATAATATTATTTTTTGTTTGAAATTTTTCATATAAAGACAATATCATATTCAATTTCATTTCCCTTACATCTCTTTTTGATTAAAAGTAGATGATATTTTTAAAAACTCATTTCTATATCAATTACTAAATAATGAATAATAATATTCTGATTGCATTATTTATTGATACATTTGCTATAAGTAAAGGAGAAGATAATGTTGTTCAATTTAGTGTTATTTTCATTTTATGGATGTGGAGCAAAGTTTGCAAAACTTTTGATTTAAAAAGATTTAATTGAATTCTCAAGACATTACCAGAAATAATTTTCTCTTTTAATTATATTGATAATGACCCCACTCCATGAAAACTAATGTATTTTTTAGTGGAGATCATAGAAAAGGTTAGATGTATTCTAAAAACTGCTGATATAGAGCTAATATAAATATAATTTTCTTATTTTCTCTGACTGGTTCTAAGGGATCAATATTGTTTCTGTGTTAATGTGCATAAGTGGTGTTACAGGTAGTTAATAGACCCGAGTGCTCATAATACATAACGTTGAATTTTGATGACCAGTATAGCAAGAACACCTTTTAAATTACTTCTTTTGTGAAATAAATATGGTTTATATTTTTTTGCAAGCTTTTCCAGGAGATATAAAATAATCTCATGTGTATTTATAATTATCTAAATGTGTACTGGAGTTATGAAATAAAACTGCATTGTCTTCTCCATAATTTGTTTGTAAAATAACATGCAAATGAGTAAGAGAATATCGTTTTACAGACACACAAATGTATATAAGCTATACTGACTATAGTTGAAAAATGTGCTGAAAACCATATAACACGTTGAAAACATTTATGTTTTATTGTGATACTGAAAAAAATGATATTATCACTTAGTTTTTTCTAAAATCATTCGAAAATATAATCCAATGGCAATCAGAGAAAATATGGTTATCTTTTTCCTCACTCCCATTGATCTGACTTAGTTTCTCATTTTAAACTAAGATGAATTTCCTTTAATTCCTCCTTTCCCAAAGGAGTGATTTAATCACCCTCAACCTCAAGTATTTGAAGGCAAATCCTCTGAAACAGAAGCTTTGATGGCTAATTGAGGAACTTGATTTTATCTACTCTCCTGCAGTGTAGTTAAATGACTAACAGAAATGCAGAAATGCACCCCCCCCCCCCCCCACCCCCCTTTGATGTATTTTGGAAGCATTCATATATAATGCCTGGAAGAGAAGGTTCTATTTTGGCTCATTTATCAAGGTGAATGCTCTCTTTTCACTATTATCTTTAGAATGGCATTCATATTAAATTGATGTGTTAATAATAATAATTTATTTTATTGGTTTGCAACAATTTATGATTTAGAAATATCATATCCCACCTATTCAAGTGTATGTTACTACTTCATTAAGTTGATTTTAACCATTATATTTGGTATAAAACCAAACTGTGTGTGCATCCACACATGTGCATATACATATGAATATGTGTGTATATTTACACATAAAAACTATTAGTTATTTTTATACTATTTGTCTTTTGACTTGAATGTTAGATGAGAAACTAGTTCCAATAGGAATGTCCCACAGTAAAATCTATTAAATATAGAAAAAAGCAGGTTATCATTTGGGGAGAGAATAGAAATTAGGTGGAAGAGGGCACAATGGTATATGGTAGAGGACTTGGGCTGCTTTGGTGGTGGGAAAACTATGGCTTCCCTACCTGAAAGGAGAAATGCTATTTATGAAAAAATTAACAAGGAAACTTTTTAAAAAGAAAATAAAACATGTAGATGATGATCAAAAATATATTTTCTGGATTTTTTTATCTGCTTACCATTTCCTGCCCACTAATTGAGAGCAAAATTCTGAATGAATGTGTTTTACTAAATCTTGATTGTATTCTCTATTCTGAAGTGGATTTAAGCATCATTTCTAACCCTAGCATCTGAGTGTTGCATGGCAGAATCATTTTTTTAGACATTAATTTGTTCTCTATTTCTCATGTCTGGTCTTCATTTAAACAAGGCAGGCTTGTATCAGCATTGAAAATCTTCAGACAATTCCTCTCCCCAGTTGTTTCTAAAAAGCACAGTGAGAAGACTTTTTTCAGTGGTTTGTTAAAGGAAAGGATAACATTTGATGGGAGTGTGAATAGAGCTTCTCTAGTTTACTCTGAAAGTGATGAAGTGCAGTAAGTTTAACAGGAACTGAACTGATGTGTGGGTAGAATATGGGAATAATTATATGGGGGATGGACTAACTTTAAGGGAAGATATTTTTTTTATTTATTTTAAAAAATTAAATAGAAGAACTGGTGAATACTAACAGTGATTAAATTGTCTTTGAGTGAAAAAGAAGCATCTGGTCCTAAACAAGAATCATCATGACCCATCATGTTTAACTTATCTATCTCCAAAATCTGACATCTGACATACCTTTCTTATTGTGGTTTTTAATTTGTTTTTTCCTGATGATTTGACCATCATCTATTTGGATGAATAATTTTAAAGACAAACTACTGACTTTTTTTTTTCATTTTAAAAGCTATATGTGTGTGTGTGTGTGTGTATACATGTATACATATATATGTGTATATATATATATTTTTTTTTTCCAAAATATATCTCTCTTGAAGTAAAAGAGAACTTAAAACATTTGAGCAATGTGATCTTGTTAGGAGACTGCCTGGGATCAGTCCCAGTTCTTGATTATATCCGTGACCATAGCTAGTTATTTTGTGACTCAACTTGCATATTTGTAAAATAGGGATAACATCAATCACTACTTCATTGGGTTCTTATAAGGTTGCAAAAGTATTTTTTTTTTAAGATTTATTTATTTAGCCATACAGAACTGGGCTACAGGCCAGATATGCAGATATGCAGTGGTGGTGAGAAGATCCACCAGAGACAGAGTGGGGAGCAGAACAGGCAGATCAACAATGTACACTACTGAGGGAAGCAGCGGTTGAGATAGGAGAGGTCTGCTGCACCATGTGGATCACCTCCCTGCCCAGGGATCAAACTGGTGCTGAAGCAGTTGCAGACAGCTTTGCAGTGCTGTATTTTAACTAATTGTACCAACAGGGAACACGAAGGTTAAACAAGTTAATAAATAAATAGTACTTAGGTAGTACATAATATGTAGTTTGTAGTTTGTAAGTGTTAGCTATTTTTTTTAAAGTGATAGTTCTAAGTTTAAGAAAGTCTTATATGTTATATCTCTTCTAAACCTCTTGTAATTTAATTACAATTTTGAGAGTAAGAACATATTTTAAAAATAAATCCCTTACTTTGATGAAGAATACAATTTAATATTTATTCATAGAAGTCATGTTATTTATTTTTCACCCTCAAGGATGTAGATGAGTTTTTATCTCAGCTTGCTCTTACGAAAAATAATTAATCAGAATGGTTATTATTTGGGGGGAGGAGAACATATAATGAATTTGCCTTAGGGGAAGACTGATAAATATTGATATAATAAAATGTTATTTAGGAGAAAAAATAAATACATAATTGTGTCTTTAATTATAGGCATACATAGTATCTTGTCATCAGAGATATATCACAGTAAAATTTCCTTTTATTTTCTAGTCACACCCAATTCCTAAAATACAAGCTCAATTAAAATAATAATGTTAGAGTCAGATCAGATACTAGAACAAAACACATTGTAAAGAAAACCTTGTTAATATTTTACACATTGGATTAAATATCAGTAGTCTAAATAAAATCAGTTGATTTTTTTTTCCCTGAAAGCACCACAAAGGAAAAGAGTAAATTTGGCAACTCCAGAAGAGAGAGATCAGATAATAAGCATCATAGTTTTATTTTTTTGTTTTGTTTTGTCTATAGCATTTCTGTTCAATTTATAATGATATCCTCAGTAGGAATCATTTTTTCTTGATGTTTCAGGAAGTGTGCTTAATACTTTATTTTGTAAGTCTTGTCATTTTTTTTGATTATGCCATCTATTAATTCATTCAGGAATGAATCAGTTTATTGAGCACCTACCTTGTACTTGATAATATTAAAGGCTTTACTCCTTCATTATAAACAGCATAGAATAAATTCCTTCTTTCATGTTGTTTGGGGCCTACTAAAGAGAAATA